TTCAAATGGGCTTAAGTATGTGTATTTGAGTTTAGTATATGAAAAGGGGATATAACGTAAAGAATTAAAGTTGAAAATAATGAATTTTCAGGTTTAAATGTGAATTCTGGACTAGTGTGCATCGGTACACATTCAACATGCATCGATGCATTAAGGGTAAATTTCCAGAAATCATTCAATCCCTTAAAATAGAAACATCGAATGCAAATTGTGTATCGATGCATAGTTAATGCATCGATGCACATACTACAGAGTGTACCGATGCACTTCAAAGGAAAAAAAAGTAGATATTTCTTATAGCTTAAGAAATCAAGGATCGAATCATAGTATTTAGAATGCTAATATATATACATGATTGTGTAGATATCGATCGAGAGCAAGTTCCGTAATGATTGAAAGGTTAGAATTGATCAAGAAGAGAAAGTAACCCATAGGAGTAATTGATAGCAAGTGAGGCATAGGTGAGTGCATATTATTGGAAATATGTATTTTTAAATGGGAATTAGACTTGTGATAAGTCTGTTCCCGATATTTGAATATATGATAGCATGAGTCGAAGCATGAGTAGGATTATGTACTATGTGAATATGTCATGCTTGCATTACATGTTATGTGATGTGCATTTATGTCTATATGATAATGATCTATGAAATAATACAAGCGTATTATCTGAATTACTTGATAATAAGTCATAAGATGGCATGCAAATGTAATATAAGTTATAAGATGAGAAAGTATGTACATGAATACATGTATAAGTTTATATGTTATTTTATGTGTTATATGGTGTATATACGAACATATGTGAATAAGATATGACATACATGTTTACATGAATACATGAGTAATAATATAAGCTATATGATAGATGATATGGGAATGTATTCAAAGGACATATGTTATATGATATGAAATAGATGATCATATGCACATGTGATATATGATAGAAGAAATGATATGAGCACATGTATATGTGATTATGAATGACATGAATATGAGAAAATGTATATGTGACATGTGAATTATATGGAAGTGAATTGTGTGCCTATGTGATAAGATTATGTGAAATGATATAAATATAATACCTATGTTATGTGTCATGAGATCTAGAGATATAGTTGGCATGCCAAGAGTCGAGGGATATACAGTGGTCCTTCGGGACATAGTGGTCATTCGGGACATTTCATAGTGGTCCTTTGGGACAAATTCATATGCCCCTAGTGGGACCCCATATGAGCTGTAGTGATAGCATAGTGCATAACCTCAATAGACTTATATATTTATAGTTCTCACATATGTACATGGGCTAACAAAGAGATAATAATACATATATGATATATGATATGTATGCTTTTGGTGAAATAAGGTTAATGATGGAAATGATAAATGATGTGTATATGTGTACAATTGATTATATGTGATGTTATATTATTGTGGGTGATAGTATGATATGCTATGTATATGTAGGGTTAAGTAGTTAGAGTTACTTTTATACGTTAATGCCTCACTAAGTCATAGACTTAGCGTGTGATTGTTTTACACGTAGGTTATAGAAGTGACAAGAAAGAACAAGACAGGTCAGATTCTCCTTTCCACAGTTCAAATCAGAAATGAATTTAAATTATATGTATTTTGTCATATGAAATGTAGTTGGCATGTAAGATAAAATATTAGTATTGGTTACGCTCTAATCAAATTTGTAAAACCATATGTTTTATACAATAAAGATTATTTGGGTTTTGTTGGAATGTTAAACTGAATTTTATTAGATTTTGGTATAGTAAACATTTTGAACAGTCAATGTGACACCTCGGACTCGTATCCGGGTCGGGTACGGGTTGGGGGTGTTACACAAGGGATTATTTTCTAACTTTTAATAGCTAGTTATTATGCAATTAAGACTATTCGTCTTGCTAAACTTAGTGAGTTTATATTCCAGGCCTGTAAAAATTATATTATTATATATCGGTTGAAATAACTGTCACAAAGCCTTTTGTTTATACCAAATAGTTTAACAACATTTTGATTGATTGTCTCCTATTAATAGCTAAACTATGAGAACCAAAAAAAATCTAGTATATATATATATATATATTAATTCACATATAGAACTTATACATATCAAGCCAATAATTTATACTCATTTATGATTATCTTATGGTTAGAAGCCATATCTTTACCATTATAAAATTTTGATTGTGCATTATATATTTATATCGATCCACCATAAATGCACAAAATTGATATTTGAAGTAAATTGAGTATAAATCTCGCTTTATTGAATGTTTTGAGATTCAATATGGCATGAATTGCCTATTATTATTATTTTCATCAGAGAGAAGAATACACAGCTGGATGAAAAAGATATATGAATTATCATTTTATTTTGATCATCGTACATAGTGATATGTATGAAAAATTCATAAGATAATTCATTACAAGTTTGCTGCTAGAAATATTTTCTGACCTGATGAGAGTAAGCAAGTCTTATGCACCAGCTGAAAATGCTCTAAATTTGAATTGAAATCCAGAAGGATAATATGTTAGAGCAAAAGAATGTAAACCATGTTCGAAGCATGATAGTTGAATTGGTTCCAACAATTAATTTTTTTGTCAATGAAAAAGTAGTATAAGATGGTCATATAGCGGAGGCGGGTACTCCAGAAGAGACCTAAGACATAACTAATAATACAACTCTAGAAGAGTTCCAGGTACCTGAAAATGAAAATGAAAATAATAAAGAGATCTCGATAAGTTATATCATTACAAGAAAATAATGGAATTGAAATAAAAAAAGTTGTCGACAATAATTTTACAAACAATATTTCTACAGATATAAAGATATAAAATGAGGATCTTGAATTGAAATCTATCCAAGAGTATATATGTGAAAATAATTGGCCAAAATGGAAAAAAACGCTATTCGAGTTAAGTTAAATCAACTTCCAAAATATGAACAAGTAGTTCAAACACCTAAAGGTGTAATGCAAGTGGGGTATAAATAAATAGTCGTGAGATATAAAATACAACTTCAATCATGAAGATTTTTACTTCGTGGTGGATGCAATTACTTTATTACTTTGGTAATTATGAAAATTTTTATAATGCATCTAATGATTTGTGGATTCCTATATATTTATCCCTGAAGGATTAAAATACTAGAACCATTTAAAAATTCCTCAAAAATTTGTTCAAATATATTCGCTTATGTATTTATATAAAATGAACTGATCTATGCATGTGTGATATATTCAAATCGATGAGAATCTACTTGCTCATGTGTCTTGATAAAGACATTAAGATCAAATTATGATGATTATTGTATACTTTGAATTGTAACTCTTGAAGTGTTTTAAAATAAAATTCCCGAAGAATTTCAAAACTATCTTGATTGTTTAAAAGAATATTTGAGATAAAGAATCTTGCAATCAAGTTTTATCTCGACCTGTAGATCGAGTACTTAAATTAGATTAATTGAATATATTAAACATCAAAGGAAACACATTTTTCTAAAGTTTCCCCTCATGATCTTCAAAAGCAGAGTAATGTAAGTATTTCACGAATCCATTCAAATGGTAATTTGAAAAGTTATATTCATTGATGTATTATTTACTTGAATATTTGAAGATTGTATTTAAGATTGAGTTGTAATAATCAAAGATCTTATGTGATATTATCATGAGGGAGAGTAAATACGCGTTGTACTATTTTCCCTTAACCAATGTTTTGTCCCATTGGGTTTTTCTCATAAGGTTTTTTTAATGAGATAACATATTATATGTATTAAAGATACATGTACTCTTTTTCCTTCATTAAGATTTTTCCCACAAGATTTTTTATCTAAGTAAAGTTTTAACGAGACACATTTTCTTCATAGAAATTCAAGGGGCACTACCAATATTTATTTATGTGGATGTCAATCTCTATCTATATCTCTATCTATAAGATTGAGTTTTGATAAACTTTATTATTAGAACTTTAATATCCATTATATTTAGAGTCCTATATGATATATACTACTCGTGCTTATGAATATGAAGTTCAGAGAAAACATTTATACAACTCATATTGAGATAATACTATAGTTATCCCCTTTATTCTTATGTATATTCTTCTTCATATTATTTTTATTGCTTCGTTTAAATTATTTAATAACAATTAAAATTAAAATTATATTATAATAATAGTGTTTATCGCGTATATAATAAAACATGTTTTCTATCCATGTGACATATTTAAGCGTTATTTTTTATAGGCTTAAAATAAAAGCAGGTACTCAATTTGTAATTTTTTTTGTCAAATTAAAATTTTAAACTATTATAATTAATCATTTTAAGTCCTATCATTTTTCAGTTAGAAAAATAATTTTTGACCCTTAAGATGTTGATACGTCACACAAAATTAGATACTTGTTTTGACAAGAAAATTAATTTAGGGACTTAACGCAAAAAAACCCCATAGTTTAGGGACTTATTTTGACTCAAAATAATTTAGGTACTTGGTTACATATAATAATTTAAAAACTTAATTTGACAAAAAATAGTTTAATTAATTAAAGTAAAAAAAACATGGTTTGAGTACCTATTTTTAATTCAAGCCTTTTTTATAAATAATTTTTTTTCAAAAGTTCAAAATTAAAATAATAATTTTTACGTGAAAATACTCAGATCTTCAATACTTTAAAAAACAAATCATAAAGGAAAATAACTTACTTTTTACACACAAATAATTTAGTTGGATATAAATCAAAGATGAAGCATTTATTTGAATGTAGAAACAAACTTGTTCAAATAAAATGAAGAAATCCAATTAACTTATTTAGCGTATTTAATCATGTGCTTAATTTAATGTAGAGCGTAATTGGAATCTAATCGTGAGATCATAATGTAATTCATTACAAGAGTTCACCACTGAGTCATGACAACCGAGTGGCCTGTGTTTTTGAGTTTACTTTCCTAAAATATTTTTAAATTGACAATAATACCCATAAGCAGATATTCTTATCCCATCCAAACCAACGGAAACCTCTTTGATTTATCTGAAACAACTGTCCTTTTTCGTCCATCCACAAAATATACCTGCCATTTTTCTCTGCTCTTTTTCATTATTCACCAAACAAAGAGGTTCTTCCATAAAAGAAAAAAAAAGAGGCTTTTTTTTTGTGGCGGAGAGAGACGGATTGGGCAAAATGGACGGTAACACTACGGAGGCTGAGCGGTGGTTGAGCATAGCGGAGAAGCTATTGGCGACGCGTGATTTGCACGGGACCCGAACCTTCGCGATCCGAGCCCGTGAATCGGCTCCTATCCTGGCCGACCAAATACTTGCGGTGACGGACACCCTCTTAACGGCACAATCTAATACTCAAGATTGGTACAGGATCCTCCAACTCGTGCCGTTAACTCAGTCCATGGAGGTCGTGGCGAGTCAGTATAGGAAACTCGCTCTTCTTTTGAATCCTGGGAGGAACAGGCTCTCTTTCGCAGATCAGGCGTTTCGATTCGTTTCTGAAGCTTGGAATGTGTTGTCTAACCCTTCTAAGAAGGCCATTTATGATAACGAGTTGAGGTTCCTTCAGTATGGTCAGGTGAGTCAACCCGGTGAACAACAAAATCATCAACAACAACCACAGCTTCAGCAACAGCAACAACAACAAGAGAAGCAGCCGCAAACGCAGACGCTGTTCATGCAATCGCATCCGCTTCCTGCGCCGAAGGAAACTCAAACGCTGTTTATGCAAACTCCGCAGAAAGAGACGCCGACGCAAGTTACTCAGCCGCTATTCACGAGAAGAAGCCCTAGAAATACTGATAGAGAAGGGAATGCTGATTTAGGAGGCGGCGGGCAGTCGGGTCTCAATAACAAGCCGCCGGAGCAAAATCGGTCGACTGAGCCGATATGGAAGAGGCAGATGAATCAGATTGGTTTAGGTGAGAGCAGTCAGGTTAGACAGTCAGGGTCAGTCGATTCCAGCCAGATTAATCAAACAGGAACAGATAGCTCGAGTCAGTTTAATCGGGCCGAGCCAGCTCGTACGAGTCAAATTAACCAGACCACAACTCCTCCTCCTCCTCCTCCTCCTCCTAGGGCGGATAGTCAGACACAGGCAACTAATGTGTCTCAGCCTAGAGAAGCCACTGAGTCAGAGGTGCTGACATTCTGGACAGCTTGTCCGTACTGTTACGTTCTCTATGAGTATCCAAAGTTGTATGAAGATTGTACATTGAGGTGCCAGACTAAGAACTGCAGGAGGGCTTTTCATGCGGTTGTGATACCGTCGCCGCCAGTAAATGGAAAGGACACGCATTTCAACTGCTGGGGGTTTTTCCCATTAGGATTTTCTAGGAGCGGTAATTTTCCCAGTTGGTCACCTATTTCGACCATGTTTGCTTGCCCTAATAACCAGAATGCTGCAAAACAAAATACTGCCAAAAAGTCTGCTCCAAGAGTATATTACGATGATGATGATGTACATGAAGATATTTCTGACTCAATTGGGACTTATGATGACGATGATGATGATTGGCAAAATGAGAAGAGGAAGAAGGCAAAGAATGCTAAAAGGAAAGTGTCTGTGGGGAGGAATGCTAAGAAACCACAGAGCGAGGGAATTAAGCAGCAGACTAATGAGAAAGCTAGTGTTGATCACAGTGGGAATCTGATTGGTGTGTCCACGGTGCCTGATGGTGTGCCAACTGCTGAATCGAGCCGAAGGGGGGTTGTTAATAGCGGGAGGAAGCAGATGGGAAGGGTGGCAAAGAATTTGGGGAAGTTGGATTTGAATGTGGAGTTTAGCAATGAAGTTGAAGAGCCTGCGCCGAGGAGGAACGAGGGAAATCACGACGGCTATGTGGAGGAGGATAACATTGAAGGGAATGGGTTCTTTGAGGGTCTTGATGAGTATTTGAATAGCTTACCTATACTTTCGGCTGTTGGGGATGATAAAGTTAAGGCTACTTAGTGAAGTAAGATCCTTTTTTTTCTGCAGTAGTTGTAATGGAATGCTTGTAGTATTTAACCATGTGGAGATGCTTATGGCCTCCCTTTATAGCCTCTTCAGTGTTGGATTTGACTGTATATTCTGCAGCATCACGTTTTGTCAATATTTTGATCGTTTTATGTTGCCTATTTACTCTGAAAGTTCTATTTGTCAAATTTCCTGTTTGGGAGGATAATTTGAAAGTTAAGTACAAAATCATGATAATCTATGAGTTGAAGATGGAATGTTCTGTCCACCATGATTCTGGCGGTGACGGGAATTGGTGGTAAGTTTTCTGACTGTTCTCTTTCTCTTTTGAGTTGAAAGAGTTATTAACCATGATAATTGCTTTCTCCCCTTCTCTTTTCCCTCTTAATAAAAGGAAAAGAGAAAAGGCTGAAGCTTAGACTAAGGAAGTTGGAAATATGCTTTGAAAATGATGAATTGGACTATTCAAGTTTGATCTTGCTTATGAAAAGATTTTAATTACTTGGATTATGATTCAATTGTTATGAGCTTCTATGAATTTCGTTACAGAAGCTTTTGGGTTTGCAAATCTGCTTCCTCTGTTCTAAGAATGAGTTTCGAAAGGTTATGGAGCCTCTATGGTTTTGATTACCAATACCCTTCTCTATATTTATTCCATAAATAAGGCCTAAACACTTGATTTATTGACCCACCTTAACATACACCCTTTAACTTCAAATGGAGGAATCCCAATTGAAGTTCCTCCATTTGAAGTTGTCAGACGCTGGTTTGAAGTACACGATTTCATCTTCTAGTTGCATATGCTGTGCAAACTTACTGTTATGCTAATCCCCTAGCCATTAGCTTCTTATACCAATTGTGAGAGACATTCCTTCTTATTGGGCTCAAAATCCCAGTACCAACATCGTGCTAATTCTCCAGAAGTCTAATCTTCAGAAGATCTTTTGTATTTTGCTCGATAAACTCCTTGCCCTTGTGCAGACTTAAAATCTGATTTTCCCTTTCTTTTGTTGTTTTTCGATAGCCAGTAACTTCTTTAGTATAGAATATTTTAATTACATATCAGTATTCCTGTCATCATTCACCAAGCAAGTGCAGTTTTTATTTTTATTTTTTATAATTGAGTTGCTGTGCTCTTGTTTAATTGTCTTCTAACTCGCCTCGTTCTTTTTCCTTAATTGCAGTAGCTAACTTGTTGATCAGATATTAAAGCGTCCAGCAAGTCATTCATTCGAATAATCAGTTTTAGTTTGTTGCAACATGTAAGGCTCCTGATTTTAAATGTTTCTATCCCGTGTGAGGTAATTTTTGGTTTTTTGTTTTATCTCTGTGGTTGTACTGATAATGCTTCAACAGGCTTCTATTTGTGGTACACTCGAATTTAGTGAGCGAGACCTGTTGTAACGAGAAGTGCTTTGCCGGTTGGATAACTTTTTATTGGAATCTTTTTCTGTACTTTGTATGGGGTTTTGGATTTCGTAATCTACTCTTAAGGGCATTGTATGATGCTGGCCTGGGAAGACGTCACATGTAATCTGATTTGTGAACTACGCTTTACCTGTCAAAAACTGGAAGCTGCCTCGGGTTCTTTGTAGTGGTCAAATGTTGCTCAGCTAATATGTCCAAAGGCGGTAGATGATCACAGAGCAGAGCAATTGGGATATGATTGGAGGGCTTTCTTTCCTGTCTACCATACTAAACAATTGAAGAGTGTAACGACTTATTGCTGTCTTCTTCAAAGGGCGAAGAAGGTACGTTATCCGTAAACGTGACAATGTCTTCTTATCAATTTTTTACTAAGCATCACCATTTAGAAGTGTGCAATGAATATTTGGTTAACCTTAGGCATGGGGTGGTAAGTAGTATGATTCTTTCGTATTAAAGTGGCGATGCGCCACCGAGTTGTTCGGGTAATTTGTCATGTAGCTGAGGGACACAATGGCAGCGTTGCCAAATGTGGGGTTTATGTAGATGATGCGATTCCTTTTAGATGGGCTATAATGAGTTTGAGGATGCTTTGCATGTTATCTTGGGCACGCATTACTTATTGCCTGCGTGCTAATAGTTTATGCTTGCATTTGGTTTCTGTAGACGGAATATTGCAGATATTCAATCTGATGGTGACATTTCTAACTCAGTTTTCTTTATTTATAACATCGTGATTTAAATCTTAGAATTTAAATCCAGGTATGTTTTCTCTATCACGGTCTTCTTGTTGGATTAACTTTTAGTTAATAAAATTATAATTTTATTAAAATAAAATTATTCGGCGGCTTTCTTTGACTGATATTTTCATTCTTATTTGTTAATTTTAATTTTTTTTTAAACTGATGGAAAATATATTTTTTTATTTTTTAAATGATCCGAATAATTATAAGATAGTATTGTTTGTAGTTTTATTTTAGATATCGACGAAAATGCATATATAGAAATACATAGAGAATTTACAAAAAAAAAAAAAAAAAAATAATCATATGATTTGTAATTTTCTTCTAAAACTGTCAAAGCGTATATTGTAACTACACACACAAAACAATTCATAGAAGAAAAATTAAAAGTTTAACTAACTAATTCAAACAAATGAAAGATGTCAATGAACGTCATTGTTATTATAAACATTGAGGGGTTGTTTGTTTGTCTCTTAATGGAATCATTCAACGTTTAATACTGAATCGTTCAGCATTCAACACGTTTGTTTTGCATCTCTGAATGATTCAGTGCTAATTGATTCAACAAAACAGTGTTGAATGATTCAGCACAAAAATACATTCTGAATGATTCAGAGTTCATTCATACAGAATCTCTAAATCATTCATCATTTGAATTATTCAGTGCTTAATCATTATGAAGTAAACAAACAACTCCTGATGTAAAAATTGATGTAACAATGATATATTGTTGATAAAATAATATCACAAAAGTTAAGTCGCGTTTTAATTTTTTTTTGGTGATTGTAAGAATCTATCAATATTTGGTATGAGAGTTTAAAGTAAGAATAGATTAACGATAATCAAATGAACACCATCTAATTTAGAGAGGTAACGTTAAATCTAATTTAAAAAAAAATGTGTTGCAAGTGAATACAAATAACGTGCTACAAGAGCAGATAGAATCATCCATAATTTTAATTTTGAATGAAAATGAAAAGTTAGCGGTTAACAATTAGTTTGAAGCAACGACAATGAAAACAAATTAGAAATTACAGTTTTTATTCGGGCTCAGCATCCAACACCCATTAAAGCAAAAGTAAAAAAAAAAACAAATCAACCCACTACCCTATTTTCACGTTTCTCACAAACACTACCTAACAACCCACTATCCCACTAACTAAAAAACAAAATCCCATTTTCTTTTTTGGTTTTTAAGAGGGCTATTAGAAAGCAAAAAAGGGGGGACGAACTTAATCAGTTCTTGGCGTCGCTCAGTAAAAAAATGGGTATATCCAGGGATTCCATGCACAAGAGACGTTCCACTGGAGGCAAGAAGAAGGCCTGGAGGAAGAAACGAAAGTACGAACTCGGTCGCCAGCCCGGGAATACGAAGCTTTCGAGCAACAAAACCGTGAGGAGAATCCGTACCAGAGAAGGTAATACCGGTGCAGCCAAGTTGGCCATTCAAAAGAATGGTTTTGCCCTTCTACGTTACTCTGACGCTTCGAAGGTTGTTTCTGTCCTTCAAAGTATTATCTTCACATATTTCTCTTTTTTTTGCCATTCTTTTTGGGTTTTGTTCATACGCAATGGGGGCACCGTTTATACCCTTGTAATCTTTTATTTTTTGTTTGATTTTATGATACATGATCAGAGTTTGTTTATATGCTAAAAAGATCTAGTTTCTTTTATAATCTTCATGTGTTTGGTTCTTTTCTGTGCTGCTTTTGTCTATAAGTGAAAAAGACTCATCTTGTAATGTGAAAAAAGAGCACTGGGTCTTCATCCAAATCAATCATTTTCATTTAATGTGCAAAAGATGAATTGTTGTTGATCAATCAATTATTGCATGTGCTTTCTTTCTAGGAATTGTACTCTTGACATAGTTTAGCTTTGATAGGTTTTGATTTAAATATTAATTTTTAATAACCTGAATTTCATATTTTTTGTCGATGTTTGTTCTCTTGATGTAAGATCTGGTATTACTGGAATTATTCTTTCTTTTCGTAACCTAATTTTGTCCGAGCTAGTCGATTTGGATTGACGATATTCAAGGTGCAATTTGAAGATTACTCAAATGTCAATGAAAGGGGCATTATTAGTGATAACGAAAATGTTTCATGTCGAGGACGATTTAATTCAAGTGGCGGTGGTGGCACTTGTGATAGTGGTTCATGGGATCGTGCAATTAACGGGAACATTGAAGATTTTTGGTCGTGAATGGATTTAAGCCTGTGCTTAATTGGGTTCAATTGGATGGCTTTGAAACCATATGTTCATTTTGAAATTAAAATTAAAGCTCGTATTTATCAAATATCCAAATCCAAAAACATTCAAAATAAATGTTCATTTACACTAAAGTCCATCAAATAACCCAAACCCATTTACATTTGACATTTTTTATTTTTTATTTTTTATTTTATTTTTTTTACTTTTTTTATTTTTATTATTCCTCTTCTAACATTTTTATTTTTTATTCATTTTTTGTGAAATTTAACATTTTCTCATTATGTTTTTTTCTTTTAACATTTTTATATATAACATTTTTTTCTTATTTATTTATTTCTTTTTAATTTTTATTCGATATTTCTTTTATTCTACCATCTAACGTATTTTTGATTTTTTTCAGTAGTAATTTCAATCAATCAAAGGTAAACAACTCGATTCAGATTTTTATATTTTAATTTAAATTTAAATTTTTGAAATTAAGACAACCGATAAATTAATTGGTATCGAAAGGGCACTGTAAGGATACTAATCCTTCATTGACTGTAACCGACTCCAAAACCCGACACATTTCTAGTAAAATGGAGATCAGGTAAGATGGTGTCCGATCAACCTAAATTTGTTTTAAAAATGATCGGTGGCGACTCTAACATATTTCATTCAAGTAGAAGCCAAATTCTAGGCCCACTCGAAAGACAACAGCGACAGCTTGGCGACTCTACTGAGAACATGTAAGTGGGTCAGGTCGAAATTAATTTTCGGTTGTCTTTTTATGTGAAAATAGTAAATTTTTATTTATTCGATTTCAATTATTTACCTTTGATTATTTTTCAAATAAATAGTTGTGCTGATGTTTTTTCAATGATTTCAGATTTTTTTCCATCTAAGGCTCTATACCTGAGCTCCAAACCCTTTTAAGTGGGGTGAAAGCGATGCATTCCTGAGAATTTATTCTCTGTGTGGGCCTAGCAAGTAACCTTCAGGATTCATATACCTTAGGTCTTCGTGTGAATTTATTCACCGTGCGGGCATAAGGGAATGTTTCCTTTCGAGTTTAACTTAGTCCGTGTAAGTTTGTAATGAGCTTAGGACTAAGGGTCTGGCAAGTCCAAGGGGGCACCAGCAAGGAGAACTCGGGTACCCTTTTTTAGAACCTAAACCGGGAGACTACAAGGAGTTAGAGCCCACCCCAAATCCTCATTCCAAACCCTAGACTATCTTGAGTTATTTCCTGCTTTACTTTCTGTTCAGAGCATGCGAACTAGAAAAATATGCGGTTAGGACTTGTTCAAAATTAACATGCGGGATAGAGATCAAGTATGGGTAGGAATTAAAACATGTGGGGTAGATATTATGTGGGGTATGACTTTTTTTATTTTTTTTCTATTGTCCTTATCTTACTAACCTTTTTCCTTTAATTTTTATTATTTTTTACTTTATGTTTTTTTATCATTTACATCATTCAAAAGAGGTGTTGATCCACCAAAAACGTGTTCTTTAACCATAAATAATTTGCATTAATGGACAAAGGGGTTATGATACAAGAGATGAAAAGCTCGGAGGTCCGACTATGGTCAGAAAAGACTCATGTCAAGAAAATACGGTGCATGCGATCGAAGAGTACACCACTTTGTTGCATGGTGAAGGACTCAGAATGGACTGGGATTTACATTGTACACAACAAAAGTCGACTTTTTGAGCTATCAAAGATTGCAGGGGCAAGACAGGAAAAATGTTATTGACCCGGAAAGTCATTTCGAAGACTACGAGAACAAGATGGCAAAACCCTAGCTGAGTTGGATACCATAGGTGACGAATTCAAGAAACAAGCTTTGAATAGTTCCTATCGATAGAGGGCTTTAATGACGCTTTCATTAGGAGCAGGATCAACAAAGAATAAAAGCCGAAGATGTAGGGCAAACAGCTCGTCACTTGCACAGTTTAGCCAGAGGAGCCGGAACGGTTGGACAGGATATTCAACCGGTGACAGAAAAAAGATGGAAGATGAATCAATTTGTTAGAGGCTGTTCGGGATCTATACCATCAAAATGTTTTTTGTCTCTTCAGATGTAACATTTTTGTCCCCAATAAGGATTATTTATAATAACAGACACATTTTTTGGATCAATGCCTCGAACATTGCATGCATCATGCACTTAAACATATTCTGCATTTAGTTATTTTCATTTCTTTACATTCGCATTAACTAACATAAGCATGTCTCATCAAAAGGCACAAATACTAAAGGTATCACCCCAAGCAAGGACACTCCCGAAGCAAAAATTTGTGCGTCTGAGGGTATTTCATAAGAAGCCATGACAAGTGAAACAATTGAGAAATGGGAAGCAAGTGCAGATGAATACTCTAATCCTCGACATTTTGAAAATAGTGGGACATCCTAATGAGGCTTTATTCCATTTTGCAGCATCCTGTTTGGACTTGTTTTTTAAATTTCTCATATTTCTTTTTGAAACCTGCTTTTGAACTTTGACATATTTCTTTTTATGAGGATATTTCAATGAATTTATTTTTAACTTGAAATTCTTTGAATATCAACTGAATTAAAAAACTCTGTAAATGATTCAGAGTCACAAATCTTTGACAAGCTAATACAATAAAAGACTTTGACCTTACCCAGAAGTTACGCTCAAACACCGTACCATTCTCTTGCAAATAACCGATATAGCCTTCTCCTCTCATAAAAGAATGAAAAGAGGCTTGGTATTTAGATGTGCATAGGTGCATACACCATGGGGCATCTTTTGCATATGACATTTCTATACTTTTTGTTTAAGACGTTCAATGATGATAATGATCTTCACATATGGAATAGTAGAGTAGGTGAATATAGTTTAGGTCAGTTGCTTGGAAATTGAATTCTAAAGATGAGATTTCTTGACTTCTAACAACACATAGACTATAACAGGTTCTTCTTGACAATCTTAAGAAATTAAATCCGTAAAGTTGAGCTATTCCACTAAGGCAATTAGTTATAGAGGAAACTTGAAAGCCCTGGCCTTATGAATATATTACATTCAAACCATGACATTGCTCGAACACTTGGCAATTCGGTGTTTGCTCTACTGGTATTGTCCGGCCGAAGACTTTGTGATGAGATGAACCCTTCAGTTAACTTGATAAAAGTGATTATAATGTTAAGCTGTCCCTCTAAAGCAATTGGTTAAACGCCCCAGCTTTATGGATTTGGCTAGCCAGACAATGGCAAATTAAATCAAATTTATCTAAACAAGAAATTTTCGGTAATGATGGACTAAGAGAGTTAAGTAACACATGTTATAGTCAATTTCTCACGAGCATTCAAGAATTTTATTTTTATATTATATTTCCGCGCTACCTTTGTTAGAGGAGTCTACAAAGCTTGAACAAATGGAAGATTTTAGAGGACCGAAATAGAAGGTCTAGTAATTGATTATGCTAGTTGCATCATTTTGTCCGCATCTGGTTAAAATGCGAAACCAAGAAATAGGGGCATGTTGTGTTGTTCAAAAAAGGACCGAGAAAGAAATGACATTTTGGTGGCCAAAACCTTAGAAAATAGGAAGCCAACCTGAAACCAACTCATCAATTTTGGACATTTGCCAAAGAGCTATACTCTAAAAGATAAAGAGCTATTGATTCCTTTGATATTATTTGAACTCATGTTTATGATTTGATTCGATTGCAAGCCTGGATTATGGGGCAATGTTTTACAGGAATTCTTACATTTTTATCTTTTTTTCTCTTCCTCCCTAAAATAAGAGAAATGAGAAAAACATTTTCAAACAGGACAGACTCAAATGTGAAAGGTCCTGGAATGTGCCAAGGCTCATTTTGCCTCTCTTGAAGAAAGAACGAACAATGCCAAATTTCGAGCATTTCACAAGACAATCAGTCCGAGAGATCAGATAGAACTTGTGACATTACCAATAACTTGAGAAGAAAATGGGGCATGGTCGATTCCAAGGACAAGACCAGCAGACAAAAATGAGGCTCCATCCAAGGGATAAAACAAAATTAATTCATGTTGCATGCTTCTTAGACATACTTAAGAGCATCACATTTATCATTTTTAGCATACATAATTTTTTGCAGCTTTTTGAGTCAAGTTTCAACTTCAAGATGAAAGATACTCGATTCAAAAGCACATTCAAAAGTTGATGGTGGTTGCTCGACCTCACAGCGAAGGGGCGACTGTCTGACGACAAAACAACTTTCCGAGTCTCGTTCAGAGTCAATTTCAATTTCACAGCGAATGATATTGAACTCGAAGCGACACAATTTTTTTGAAATTGGATTTCAACTCCACGACGGAGGATATCCAACTCAAAACCAACTTTCTCAAGATTGGATTTCAACTTCACGACGAAGGATATCCAATTCATAGATCAACTTCATGGTGAATGTGTTTCCCATTTTCATTCAGAGCCAATTTCAACTTCACGATGAATAATATTGGACTCGAAACAATACAAGCTTGGATTTCAACTTCACGACGAAGGATATTCAAGTCTAGGCTCAACTTGACAATGAATGGGCCATCCACGATTTCAACTTCATGACGAAGGATATCGTGTCAACTCAAGATTGGATTTCAACTTCACGACGAAGGATATCCAATTCAAAGATCAACTTCACGGCAAAGGGCTGGGCTTCCCAGTTTCATTCAAAGCCAATTTCAACTTCACGGCGAAGGATATTGGACTCGAAACAATACAAGCTTGGATTTCAACTTCACAACGAAGGATATTCAAGTCAAGGCTCAACTTCACAACGAATGGGCCGTCCATGATTTCAACTTCACAACGAATAATATCGTGCCAACTCTAGATTGAATTTCAACTTCACGACGAAGGATATCCAATTCAAAGCTCAACTTCACGGCGAATGGGCTTCCCAGTTTCATTAAGAGCCAATTTCATCTTCACGACGAAGGATATTGGACTCAAAGCAACATTCATCTTTAGATTGGATTTCAACTTCACGACGAAGGATATCCAATTCAAGGCTCAACTTCACAACGAAGGGGCCCTACACTGTTTTAACTTCATGACGAAGGGAATCGTGCTCACCAGTAACATTCATCTTTAGATTGGATTTCAACTTCACGACGAAGGATATCCAATTCAAGGATCAACTTCACAAAGAAGGGCATTCACAGTTTCAACTTCACGATGAATGGTATCGTGCTCACCAGCAACATTCATCTTTAGATTGGATTTTAACTTCACGACGAAGGATATCCAATTCAAGGCTCAACTTTACAACGAAGGGGCCATCCACGGTTTCAACTTCACGACGAAGGGAATCGTTCTCACCAGTAACATTCTTCTTTAGATTGGATTTCAACTTCACGACGAAGGGTATCCAATTCAAGGCTCAACTTCACAACGAATGGTCCCTCTACGGTTTCAACTTCACGACGAAGGGAATTGTGCCCACCAGCAGTAATGCCATCCACGATTTCAACTTCACGACGAAGGATATTGTGTTCATTTGCAACATAGCTCAAGACAATAAGGGCTATTTTTCCAACAAAAGACCTTTGAGTTCGACTACGCTCAGCTCCAAGGCATATCATTTGCAGTATAACTCAAGGCCAGAAGGGTTATCTGCCAACAATAGTTGTCGAGTTCGATTCCATTCAGCTCGATGACACATCAATCACACTACTTTCCAGTCAAATTTTGACACCCAGGTCTTTAAATCGAGAAGAAGACTAAGGTCGACCAAGATTGGCAACAAAGAGCCACTTTCCGATTCACCTACGATTTCGACTTCACGAAGAAGGATATCGTGTCCAATGGATCGACTTAGTGTCACAACAAACACTATCAAGTCTCAAACCAAAGAGAACAGGACAAAAACTTATCTTTTTTCATCTTTGCCATATTCTTGTTAACACAAAAATGTGCAAAGAGGAGTAACTGTAGACCCCAATTTTATTCGGGCCCAACATCCAACACCCATTAAAGGCAAAGTAAAAAAAAATCAACCCACTACCCTATTTCCACGTTTATCAGAAACACTACCCAATAACCCACTACCCCACTAACTAAAAAACAAAATCCCATTTTCTTTTTTGCTTTTTAAGAGGGCCATCAGAGAGCAAAAAAGGGGGGACGAACTGAATCAGTTCTTGGCGCGACTCAATAAAAAAAATGGGTATATCTAAGGATTCCATGCACAAGAGACGTTCCACTGGAGGCAAGAAGAAGGCATGGAGGAAGAAACGAAAGTACGAACTCGGTCGCCAACCCAGGAATACGAAGTTTTCGAGCAACAAAACCGTGAGGAGAATCCGTACCAGAGAAGGCAACACCGGTGCAGCCAAGTTGGCCATTCAAAAGAATGGCTTTGCCCTTCCATGTTACTCTGACGCTTCGAAGGTTGTTTCTGTCCTTCAAAGTATTATCTTCACATATTTCTCCTTTTTATTCTTTTTGGGTTTTGTTCATACACAATGGGGGCACCGTTTATACCCTTGTAATCTTTTATTTTTTGTTTGATTTTATGATACATGATCAGAGTTTGTTTATATGCTAAAAAGATCTAGTTTCTTTTATAATCTTCATGTGTTTGGTTCTTTTCTGTGCTGCTTTTGTCTATAAGTGAAAAAGACTCATCTTGTAATGTGAAAAAAGAGCACTGGTTATTCATCCAAATCAATCATTTTCATTTAGTATGCAAAAGATGAATTGTTGTTGATCAATCAATTACTGCATGTGCTTTCTTTCCGGGAATTGTACTCTTGACATAGTTTAGCTTTGATAGGTTTTGATTTAAATATTAATTTTCAATAACCTGAATTTCATATTTTTTGTCGATGTTTGTTCTCTTGATGTAAGAGCTGGTATTACTGGAATTATTCTTTCTTGTCGTAACCTAATTTTGTCCGAGCTAGTCGATTTGGATTGACGATATTCAAGGTGCAATTTGAAGATTACTCAAATGTCAATGAAATGGGCATTATTAGTGATAACGAAAATGGTTCATGCCGAGGACGATTTAATTCAAGTGGCGGTGGTGGCACTTGTGAAAGTGGTTCATGGGATCGTGCAATTAACAGGAACATTGAAGATTTTTGGTCGTGAATGGATTTAAGCCTTTGCTTAATTGGGTTCAATTGGGTGGGTTTGAAACCATATGTTCATTTTGAAATTAAAATTAAAGCTCGTATTTATCAAATATCCAAATCCAAAAACATTCAAAATAAATGTCCATTTACACTAAAGTCCATCAAATAACCCAAACCCATTTACATTTGACATTTTTTTTTAATTTTTTCTCTTCTAATATTTTTTATTTTTTAATTCATTTTTTGGGTGATATTTAACATTTTCTCATTTTGTTTTTTTCTTTTAACATATTTATATATAACATTTTTTTCCTTATTTATTTATTTATTATTTATTTCTTTTTAATTTTTATTCGATATTTCTTTTATTCTACCATGTAACGTATTTTTGATTTTTTTTCAAAAGTAATTTCAATCAAAGGTAAGCAATTCGATTCGTATTTTTATATTTTAATTTTAATTTTAATTTTCGCAATTAAGACAACCGACAAATTAATTGATACCGAAAGGGCAGTGCAATGGTGCTAATCCGTCATTGACTGTAACTGACTCCCGAACCCGACACATTTCTGGTAAAACGCAGATCAGGTAAGATGGTTTCCGATAAGCCTAAATTTGTTTTTAAAATGATCGGTGACGACTCTAACATATTTCATTCAAGTCGAAGCCCAATTTCGAGCCTACCCGAAAGACGACGGCATCAGGAGTGACACAAGAAATTAAAATTTTGATAATTGAATTAACTTGACCAAAATCAAATATGCCAAATCATTTTGTGGTGGTTTGAAAAAAAATCTGAGTCTTTGAAAACTCGTTAGATGGAGTTGTCATCGATTATTGTGGGATAGATACAACCAAATACCTTTAAACAAGGTTTGCGCATAACACTAAGATCAAATTTGGACACAAAAGTTGATTGCATGTGATGGAGATTATAACAGTTCATCATGCTGAAATTGTTACGTTAAAAGAAATCAAATGTTGTCGCTTTTGTGAAAATAAAAAAATAAAAAAATGTTAGTCATTATAATTATAATAAATAATAAAATAAATAGATATGTAAATAAATAATCCTAGAACTGATCAATGAATGAATTAACTTTTTAGGAATGTATTACAAGAAACATGACTTATAATGGCCAAAATGATAACTAATCCGTAAATTATGACTAAATAAAATTAAACTAATCCGCAACTGAACCTTGAATATGACAAAGCAGAGCTTTATTAGGAGCAACGCGCTCGGGTGAATTGGCTAAAAAATGGTGATTACAACACTGATTTCTTTCATCGCTATGCCTCTCAACGCAAACGAAGGAGTCAGGTGCGTTTTTTATTTTGAGATTGATGATGACTCTCGGGTGAATGATGAAGCAGGAATGGAGGATGTAGCTCGCCTTTATTTTCAGAAGCTTTTTACATTTAATGCTTCTCGGGCTGATGATAGGATTTTGGGAGGTATAAACTCTTGTATCACGCCAGACATAAACTCTGAATTGGCTAATATTAGACTATTAGTGTATGTTAAGTGTGATGAGAGTATGAATGAATGCGTGAGGTAGTTGACAGTGTTAGTAATCTGTTAGGCTGTTAGTTTCAGGTTGTTAAGGCTGTTAGAACTGCTGAGCAATTACAGCTTTGTTAGCTGTGTAAGTGTGTATATAATGCCAGCATATGTATTGCAAATAATATATCTTCTGTTATCAGTATTCTGCATATGTTAATAGATTCAATATTCATTCAGTTCTAAAGCTTTACATAGCTTCCTGCTCATCTCTTATTCATGTTCACCTTGCCATTAATGGCCCCTTTCTCACATGGTATCAGTCGCTAAAAGATCCTGGCGTCTTTTACTCTTCCGCTGTTGCGCCAGTTTTTTTTTTCTCAAGCTGTAGCTACTGTAGACTTCATCGCAGGGACAAAGCGCAGTCGTTTCGTGGATCTCGAATCACCGTAGCCATTTTGATCGGAGTTCTTCTTTGCTGTCTTGCTTTCTTTTTCCCTCATGGCCTCATCAATCCCACTGCCTCCGTTCAAAACCGTCGAATTCGCAAATCAAGTTTCCAGATTGGTTCTTCGTCGTGTGAATCCTCAGAGCAGAGTAAGATGCTGAAGTCTGAAATCGTATCACTATCAGAAAAGAATTCTGAATTAAAGAAGCAGGTCAGGAATTTGAAGGAGAAGTTGCAACTGGCCCAACAAGTAAAAGATAATGTCCAAAAGCAGTTTATGGTTTTGGGTGAGCAGCATAAAACTGGACCTTTTGGTACTGTCAAAGCTTTGCGAACTAACCCGACTGTTGTCCCTGATGAATTTGTGAACCCAAGATTGGCTGCGATCTTGGAGAAAGTTGTTGTTCAGAAAGAGATTATAGTTGTGCTTGCAAATTCAAATGTGAAAGAGATGTTGGAGGTTCAAGTTTCTAGCATCAAGAGAGTTGATATACCGAATTACCTAGTTATAGCTTTAGATGACAATATTGAAGAATTCTGCAAATCAAATGATGTCCCAGTGTACAAGAGGGATCCGGATGCAGGTATTGATGCCGCTAGGAGAACATGAGGCAATCATGCTGTCTCTGGGTTGAAGTTCCACATCTTAAGGGAGTTTTTGCAACTGGGTTATAGCATCCTTCTATCAGATGTTGATATAATATACTTACAAAATCCGTTCAACCATCTTTATCGGGATTCTGATGTAGAGTCCATGACTGATGGTCACAGTAACATGACAACTTACGGAAGGAGACGACACACTTTTGATTCAAGTGTTCATCTTTTTTCATCAAGAATGTTGAGAAAGCAGGGAGAATATTAGACTATTAGTGTATGTTAAGTGTGATGAGAGTATGAATGAATGCGTGAGGCAGTTGACAGTGTTAGTAATCTGTTAGGCTGTTAGTTTCAGGTTGTTAAGGATGTTAGAACTGCTAAGCAGTTACAGCTTTGTTAGCTGTGCAAGTGTGTATATAATGCCAGCTGATGTATTGCAAATAATATACATTCTGTTATCAGTATTCTGCATATGTTAATAGTTCAATATTCATTCAGTTCTAAAGCTTTACATAGCTTCCTGCTCATCTCTTATTCATGTTCACCTTGCCATTAATGGCCCCTTTGTCACAGCTAAAAATTTTACGAGAGAGGAGGTTTGCAGAGCTTTGAAGGATATGTCTCCTCTTAAAGCTTCGGGAGAGGATGGACTAGGTGCTCTCTTTTATCAAAGATTCTAGCATGTTGTGGGGTCGGAGGTTGCTGATTTCTGCATTGGCTTTCTTAATGGAGTTTACTATATGAAGGGGGTAAATCATACACATATTACACGGATTCCGAAAATTGATAATCCCACAAGGCTCAGTCATTTTAGGCCTATTAGCTTGTTTAACGTGCTTTTTAATATTGCTTCTAAGATGATTGTGAAACGTTTGTAAAGTGTGCTTCATTTGTGTATAGATGAATCTTAGAGTGCTTTCGTCCCCGGTAGGCTCATTACTGACAATATAATAATTGCCTATGAGATGTTGCAGTCGTTTGTTTGTAAGCGGAAAGGGAGGTGGCTATTTTGTTTTGAAGCTCGATATGAGCAAGGCATACGATCGAGTCAAATGGGATTTTGTTTGGGATATTATGTTATGAATGGGGTTCTCTTCGGAATGGATTGAAGTGATAAAGAGGTGTGTTTGCACAGTATCTTATTCCGTTATTGTGAATAGTGTTGCAGGACCGAGTTTTACTCCCCAGAGGAGTCTTCGTCAGGGCGACCCTTTAAGCCCTTACTTATTTCTAATTTGTAGTGAAGGGGTCTTCCCTTCTTCGGCAAGAAATGAGTTCGAGTGTTTTGAAAGGTGTCCGAATTAACCGTTATGCTCCTACGATTACTTGTTTGCTCTTAGCGGATGACAATTTGATTATTGGAGAAGCCTCTGCTTCAGGTGCTCTTCATCTTAAAGAGTTGCTCAGGCTTTATGGGGAATGTTCAGGACAAGTCATAAACTTCGACAAATCAGGATTGTTTTTCAGCTCGAATGTCACTGATGTAAATCGTGAGGATGTACGATATTTGGGTCTATCTGCGATAGTTGGGCGAAATAAAAAAGGGATTTTGTTCATCTTAAGAGTAAATTCTTAGCACATATTCATAACTGGTGTGTGCGTACTTTGTCTCAAGGGGGAAGGAAGTATTCATTAAGTCGGTGTTGCAAGCAATTCCTCTTTTTGCGATGGATTTTTTCTACTCCCTAAAAGTCTTTGCTTGGAGCTTTGTCAACACACATTTTTCGTCCTACTAGGATTCAAACTCCTAAAAATAGGATAGAATTTTAGGATTCAAACTCCTAAAAATAGGATAAAATTTTGCTAGGATTCAAACTCCTAAAAATAGGATAGAGTTATACTATTATTTAAATTCCTAAAGATAGGATCCACAAGCACTATAAATAGCCATTGTAACTCACCATTGTAAGACACGATTTACACACAAAACACAGAGGAAAGCACGGAAAATACAAAGGCAAAGTTGTTGTAAACGATTCGAAAAGGAAATAAAAGGTAGCATCTTTTTTTACATTGGTTCGTTCATTTCTCGCATGTGCACGTTATTTTTCTTGAGATTTGGTTCGAATAACCCAAAACGTGGGTTGCGCCGATGACTAAAAAGGGGTGGGATTTCGAAGTTTCGAACCTAGATCCACCCCGAGGCGTGTTCATTTTTTTTAAAATATTAATTCTCCCCCCTAAATCATTTTTTTCCTACTTTATTATTCTTGTTATATATGCATATTACTTTCTATTAATTTTATTATATATGTATATATGTTTTTTTATTAGTGTTATATATATATATTTATATATTTCCTATTTGCATGTATATATACGTATATTACTTTTGATTTCTTTTTTTTATTATTATTTTACTTATATATATATATGCTTTTACGTTTTTATATTTTACTCATTTATTTATCTATTTTTATATTTATCCTATATTTTATGTTTTATATTCTTTTACTTGTTTTATTTATTTATTTGCATTATCATTTTATTTTTATTTAGTTGTTTGTTGTGCATATATTAGTGTTATTGTTTTTTATTTTATATATTCTATTCATTTTATATTTACTTTATTTCTTACTTAATCTCCTTATTTTATTTGTTTTACTTTATTTATCATTTATTCATCTCTTCTAACCCATATTTTGACTTTTAAAGGGTATATTTGTAAATCCGTCAAAGGTAAGTAATTTTGGATCATTATTTTATCTTTTAATTTAACTTGTTATTTTTCTTAATTAAGACAACTGGAAATTACGTAGTACCGAAAGGGCGGTTCAAGGGTGCTAATCCTTCCTTGACCGTAACCGACTCCCGAGCCCGACATATTTCTGGTAAGACGCAGATCAGGTAAGAAATAGGGTATCCGATCAACCCATTTATCTTTAAATAAATGATCGGTGGCGACTCCAATCCACATTTTTCAAGTCGAAGCCCAATTCCGGGGCCCAACCGAAAGACGGTTGCGACAGCTTGACGGCTCCACTGGGAACACAGGTAAGTGAGTCAGGCTAAGGTAATTTCCAGTTGTCTTTTTTAACGAAAAGGGTAAGTTTAAATTTTAAGGTAATATTTCGATCCTTTTTATTCACTTTTTGATTATATTTTCGAGTAAATAGTTGGACTAATCGTTTTCTCATGATTTCAGCCTTCAAAGTTTTTTTTCATCTAAGGCTCTATACCCGAGCTCCAAACCCTATTTTAAGTGGGGGTGAAAGCGACGCCTTCGTGTGAATTTATTCACCGTGCGGGCCTAGCAAGTAGCCTTCGGGATTCATATACCTTATGTCTTCGTGTGAATTTATTCACCGTGCGGGCATAAGGGAATGTGTCCTCTCGAGTTTAACTTAGTCCATACAAGCCTGTGATGGGTTTAGGACTAAGGGTCTGGCAAGCCCAAGGGGGCACCGGCAAGGAGAACTCGGGTACCGTTTTTTTAGAACCTAAACCGGGAGATGATTGAGAATTAGAGCCCACCCCAAAACCTCATTCCAAACCTTAGGCTGCTTTGATTTTATTTCCTGCCTTACTTTATGTTCAAAGCATGCGAACTAGACAAATATGCGATTAGGATTTATTTGAGATTAGCATGCGTGATAGAGATCATGTCCGGGTAGGAATAATAAGCATGTGGGGTAGATATCATGTGGGGTAGGATTTTTCATTTTCATGATCGTTTTTATTATTTTTCACCTCACTAACTCTTTTCATCTTTCTTTCCTTTTCTTTTATTTTCATCACTTGCATCATTTAAAGAGGTATTGATCCACTAAAACGTGTTTGTTAAAACTCGAATAATCTGAATCCATGAACAAAGGTGTTGTAATACAAGAGATGAAAATACAAAGGATAGTCTAAAAGGCGACTATGTGTCACATTCAATCCAGAAGACGTGGTGCCCACAATTGAAGAGTATATCACTCTGCTGCATTATAAAGGACTCAGAATGAACCGGGTCTACATCAAGCACAATGAAAGCTTATCTTTGAAGAACTGACTGGAAGAGGTTGCAGGGGCAGGATGAAGGTTATGTATCTTGGAAGTCCCTTTGAACACGACAATGGCAAAATGATAGCTGAAATTGGAGACCATTGCTGGCGAATTCAAGAACAGATTATTGAACTTCACATAGTTCCTATCAATTAAGGGCTCCAATGACGAATTCGTTGGGAACAGGCTCAACAAAAGTAGGTGCTCGAGATGCGATCATTCGAGACTTCTTGGACCAATACGAAAAATAACTCAACATTTTCACGGTTCATCTAGAGAGGCCGGAGCGGTTCGACAGGTTATTCAACCGGTGAAAGACGAAAGCAAAAGACTAGTCAACATGTCAGAAGCTGTCAGGATATTTTTGTCTCTTAAAAGATAAAACATTTTTGTCCCCAATAAGGATTATTCATAATAACAGGCACATTTCTTGGATCAATGCCTCGAACATTTCATGCATTCTTGCATTTTTTCATCTTCATCTACATTTTTAAGCATTTTCATAAACATGAAATTTCTTCCTAGATGATTCGATGAAGTGGATTTAACCACATGGAAGCAAGATTGTAACCTTAAAGAAAAAAACTGAAAACAATACAGTAGGAGACTGATCAGCTGATTGTAGGACAAAGCCTGCCATGAAGATCTAAAGAATCTCCATATCCTAAGGGCTACGATGTTGAAGCTGTTAGCTGTTACCACATAAGAAACCCCAAACATTCCTCTAAAAACTGTAAGACATTTGTCGAAGGGGGCATGGCATATACCATTTGCACTTAGAGGATTGTTTTGTTTGAACACGTCTTTGATCTTTCATGTTTACTTAATCTTTTAAAGGATTGAATTTATGCTACTTTCTAAAGTGGAGCAATTGAACAAATTTTAATCTTTAGTTCTTCGAATATTAAATGAATTAAGGATTCTTTTAATTCTTCAAGAATTATAGATTTTTGACATATGACAAGATTAGACCTTTCTTACCCTATCTCAAACCCCAAAATAAAATACCTCGATTTTTTTTACCCAAAATAACTCATGACCATTACCAAAAAACCAAAATTTGACATTACCTCCCTTTGAAATTCTTGAACATTGCATTTATCTTTTTGATACACATGTACCTTTCTTTGAGTCAATAAGATCACACCATTGTCCTTTTAGACTCAAAATTAACCTTTTCTTACCATTAAAACCCAAGGCATTGAGTTGTTCATTTGAATATGAGCATTCTTCTAAAGACACAACTTGGGGCATCTCGCGGGGAGCCTGAACATTGAGACATGTTGGGAGCAAGGAGCAACAAAAAACAATTCATTCGAAGTAATCCTA